CTGCATAAAGGAGTTTCCGGGTCGTGGCCGCATGGCCCTGAAAACCATCGGTTTGCAGATTCGCGCTGTGTTTCTGGTGTGCTTCCTTCATCCTCCTTTTTTTTTACATCTCTCTCTGCTACTATGCACCGCCGCGTTGCCGTGTCATTATCAAATTACTCGCGAGCTACCCTCTTGCCGTTATTTGCCCACGCCTCCATTACCTTTGCCCTCAATTTTAACGAAAAAGAGCATAGGCCATCCACACTCTGCCGGCATCCTCAGTTGCTTTCTTCCTCTCGCCGTTTTTTCACCAAAATACTTGCATTAGCCGTTGCTGCAGCCAAGCAGAAGGAAGGTTTCCACTAAACACACAAACATTTAGATAGCGCTTCTGAGCACACAACAGGTCTTTAACAAGGTACCAGCCTTATCTCGAGCAGCTCAGACCGTCTTTACAGAGAGGCCGCGACGATAGCTAACCGTCAAATTATTACTACCACGTATAGAGAAAACAGAAATGGTAGTAATAAAAACACTGATAATCACAGTCATCAAAGGCAGCCGAAGCAGGCATCTTACACGCACAGAAGATGAATGTTTTAGTTCTTGATGTGTGCTTAAGTGACGTTATACGAGGTAAAGGTAAAAGTTCCTGCTTGCTCTTTGCAACGACAACGAGCTCGCCTAATAATAGTGATTGGCTTTATTCCATTGAGGGTAATAATATGTTGCGGAAAACAAATCATGGCAACGCGGGAGAACGTACGCAAATAACGAACTCGAAACATACAGTGGGAGAAATTACAGTTTTGATGAGCTCTTCACGGGCTCATATCTCAGTGATTCGACCGTTACATTAGTAGACTATATTCATGTATCACTGCAGTGTGCTCACTAGGTGGAACAATTGTTTTAGAAGTAGTCGGATTTGCTATTAGCGGCTAGTATACCGTTTGATGAATTCCCGATCGACCGTGTTCTGGTTGACTGATCTGAGAAGTTCGGAATTCAGGGTCGTCAATTAAGCCCGGTAGGAAAACTAGCACACAATTCGCCGTCGTCCTCAAAGACCAACAATTTATCTTACGTCAATATCTGTTCATCCACCTTAAATACGTAGAATCGATCGAGGCATACAGGATTTTTCTAAAAGTAACACCAGTGCTAGTTGCAAAGTTTCTTATGACGAAAGAACTATAATTTTTTATCTTTTGCATCCAATTTGGGCTCCTGGCGACGTACGATTATCTTATGATAAGATGGCAGCGGATAAAAGCCGATCTATTGCACAAAAATTCACTTCAGGCTCCTTAGGAATTCGATGCTAGTTTTTCTGATAGAAAAGATTTTACCTCGATCTTCCAGTAAACGGCCATGCAAATTATTAGCTGGCTGTAATCGGCTAACCTGTTTCAGCCCAGCTTCTTGCCTTATACAACGAAACATGCATATGCGTATGATGCGGCAATCAGATGAGACTAAGGTAAACTTGTAAGTTACTTAGAGGTTGCACAGGCACAATGGAAACATAGCATTTAGCGCGTCCTCTTTCATCCACATAGCCAATTGGCTATTAAGAAACGGAAGCGGAAAAGATCAATATTAACTCACTTTGCACATGGTTTCTCTTTTCCGAGGCCGAACTTTTTTAGTCCGGCTCAGCGACAGCAGTTACATGGGAATACACAACTTCCTATTTGCCGCGCCCTTCGCCTTTTCTATCACTGCTTTTCCTCTTGGTTTTTATTTTTACTACTATGTTCAGCCGCGCCCCCTGCATCAATTCAATTTTTCTGGGTCAAAAGCCGCTTCACCTCACAGAGAAAAGGTCTGTCTGTGCCATCGGAAGTCAATCAGTTGCCTTCATCTCATCACCTCACAGACCCCTTCTTCATTCCTATTGAGTGTGAGGTCTTCTAGTAAAGTGTGCTAGCCAGCGACTTTGTCTGCCTAAGCGGCTGTCTGGGACTCCCGATAGAGTTAGTTTGGTTCGACCTACTGCTGTTGCTCGAACAGGTGGAACTAGCCCCTTATTCTACCCATCGACTTGTATAGGTGGTTTCTGCTGCTTCGGCTAGCAGAGACTGCACTGGCGGAGACTGGCAGTGAACGAAACCAGATCACTAGTTTGCTTATTGAGTCCACTATCTCTCCTTGTTCACTCGAGCATTTCCATTGTGCGGTTCCAGTTGGAGCTATTGCACTGCTTGCTACCCGGCGCGCTTACAGGTTCACCGATTTTTCCCAGGTTTGGCTTCTTCCCAAACATCAGTAGAGCCACATGGAGCAGCAATGTCCCCGCCGGTTCTCGTCCACCATTTCCACCAGTAGCATACCTTGTTCGCTGCACAAACTTGCCTTTTCTCCCCTAGGAGTTCTCGACCTAGCTTTATAGCTAGGCTACTACCACTACTCTTAGTCAGAGGTGAAGCGATCCCCCTTTGGTGTGGCGCTTTCATTTTTCTCCATAGATTTAGCGGCAGTGACCTCCCACACGCTGCCGAACATTTCGTCGGTCATCGACATTGTTGTTGTTTCCCACTTATTCTCCCCGCGATCCCCGATTAAGGCGAATTAAGCGAGATTGCAGAAAGGACGGTTGGTAGGCGGTTACGAAGGTGTTGAACGTGGAGACCCGATGGCTCAGCGGGTCGGCAGAGATTTAGGCGGGACCGGTTTCAGCAGCAAAGACCAACGCCAGCTTTTCACGTACACCACGTTCCTCAAGCATTCTGATGATCTCCCTTCCCCTCATCTTGTTCCCCTGGGATTATTCTCGTCTCCCATCATCTCTTAGCCTACACTGGCTGGTTTGTTAGACAACCCGGCTTCCTCCACTCTGTGGATCTGTCCTGAAGGCATACACTTATTCCAATTACCTTAGGTCATATCCAGATAACGCAGCGGTATATTCTCGCTAGTCAATTGTCCGATTAGCCTATCATACATCTGAACAAGTAGGACACCGAACTTTGGCCGTTTAGTGCCGGCTGTTGATCTACTTGCCGTTAGGCTCAGGCCGAGGACGTCAAACCGCCGGAGCGGGCACTCTTCGGCCCTAAGAACCACCCCCGATTTCCCGCATATTCTGCTTCCTGCCGCCACTATCTCGTATCGAGATGCACGTATAACATAGGATTGCCTCCTTGGTTGGCTAGTTTAGCCGTTGGCTGGAGAGCCATACTATTGGTGGGAAGAGAAGTCCCACCAGCCTTCGCTCCATATAGCCGGAGTAACCGCCGCCGTAGTGTGGGTCACCTGCGCAATGATGTTCCTTGATGGCCGCCCTGTTGCGGCCTGATCATTGCTGGACAACTGCTGAGCGCCGCTCCCCCCCGAATCGTCGTCTCCGTTTGCCTGTCCGGTAGTTCGCCTGACTCTCCTGGAAATAGATCGTTGAACAGGCACAGGAGTACACTCCTTTGCGCTAGCGTCGGCTCCGCTGCGCCGGATCTCGCTGGCAGAGTCGTTGTCGTCTCATAGAACCGATTATGGGCCTCGGCCCGCTACCGGTAAACAGTCTGCCAGACTGCCACCCCATCGCCTACGGATAATTACTTTCTAATTAAGGAAGCGAGAGAGAGAGAGAGGTAGACACGTAGGACAAAGGTGGCGGAAGCAGGACAATGTCGGAGAGAAAGTTAGTGCGAAGCATTCTGTATCAAGCACCTAATACGACTACTATTATTACTACTTCTGGTGAAGACTCAACGGACAGAACTGGATTTGTAGAGTATATCTCAGCCACTCTTCTGTAGTGGGAGAGTAAGGTATCCTTAGCATACCGCCAGGGGCCTACTGCTGTATTTCGCTAAGCATTGATTGAACAATGTGAATGTACACGATGTAATGAGTCGAGCCCTTCGTCCATCTCACGTTCGTTGCTCAGAGCGGAAGCTTTAACTATGGTCGCCTACAAAGACCGAATACGTCTCTCAGTGAAAGGACACGACGGCGGAAAACAGAGGCTTTGTTTAGGGATAAAGTCGAATAGGGAAAGCGATAGATACATGTGCTACACATCTATATCCCTGAGTAGTTGAATTTAATTCCTTTAGCAATTCCTGCACAATGCGATCTTAGACATCGTTTACATGGCATAATTAGCGAGCAGGTGCTTGTGTGTATTTCTTCATGTGCGGGTAAGCGCTCCTTATGCGATAAATAGGCGAATTTGCAAGGGGATAGTGGGAGAAAAACTAAAGCTCTCGGGCAGATCGTACGTATTCATGAGGCGGCGTACGTCGCACGGTGCGTACGCCGACAACGAAAGTGGAACGTTAGTCGGTGACTGTGGGATACGCTGAGGTCGCAGATGCTTGAAAAATCGTCAAAGTTTGGAACGACAACGATATGTGGCGAAGGCAGTTGTCGAACCGTGTCTACGCACGTTATTCTACTGTGTATGCTGGCCCATTTCTCGCTATGATGGCCCATGGTGGGCCACTGATGAAACCCGGGTTGATACATAGTCCAGATAAGCCCTATCGTATATAGACGTTTTCAAGCAGTCCCGCTGGTTCAACCTACATTTGTAGTAGCAGCGATAACTGCCGGTACGTTGTATAATCTAAATAAGATCGTGCAATTGATGAAAACTAATGTTGCGCTCTGAAAATTGATGACACTGACTGATATATTGAATGAAAAGCGCAATGCATAAAGGAATCCGTGTTTGTACAGGGAGGAAGTGTAAGAACAACATTTCCACTGCAGTCGTGTATTGCTGATGTGGAAAAAAATAGATATTCATAGATGCTCTATATCCGGCAAGAAATAGTACATACAAAGAATTTTTAGCAAAAAAAAAAGCCTCGTAGGCAAAAACTGGGACGATTCAGCTATATGCTGCGTACTCCCATTAGGTCGGCGGTCAGTTCTGCATACATTTACGGTAATATTACAAACATGGTAACCATCAATCAAACAGTGGGCTCGCATCTTTCTACCATTCTACGCACAATAAACTCTTGTATAACTGTGGATTTTTTCCTTCTTTTTTTTTTTCTATATTGTAGCGGCACCCAGCGGCACATCGGCCGAGCTGTACAAATTATACCAGGACAGCAGCAGCAGAGATCAGAGCCCACTTCCGGCGGGCCATTTCGACGCCGATGTCTGGGAGTTCTCAGAAGGTGAGTACGGGAACGGAATAAGTGTATATTGATTCGCTATAGTGCGTCGAAAAGATCTCTCAGAGACACCCATAAACCTTTTTACTTCGCGGCCAAATCAAAGCAGCGGACAGCTATTTATTAAATCTTGAGTTGTTCTCGTAACAACTCGACTGTGTTACCAAAAGATATGGATGTTCAGTCGAATCTGCTGAGTATTTTTGGCACACAGGCTATCAACAAACCCTGAAAGCCTTTTCAAAAGGACTAGTTGTTATCTCAGTGTATAATAATATAGTGAGTGGTATTTTATAGAGGTCTACGAAGAAGTGCTTTGACAATATCATTGTCCACTACTATCAGGCATAGATATGTTGCTTCTACGCTGGCTGGAAGGGCCCAGCGGTCTAAAATGATACTTAACCACAACAGTAGAATTCGAAGCATTGAATTAGATATGATGTGCGGTGAATAGAATAGAGAAAGAAAGGATGGTAGAAATGTTCTAAAATTAGTACAAAGGTCGTTCAAATAGAGAAAAAAAAAAAACAGGTTTAGGAGCTAAGCACATTTACAACGTTTGTTATTACCACTAGTCTATTTCCAGTCAGCCTTTAGAAACGAGTACGTTTGTTCAATGTTTACTAACTACAATCTGTTATCTACCAAGATGAACCTGTACCATGAAAGATAGTACTTTGCTCAACAGGCTACCTATGCTAAGCGGTTACAGTTACGTACCGTTGTCTATAAAGCGTGTTATGTTTAACACTCGCTGATCTTCCATGTTGATCTTCGCTGTCTGCAATCACTATGTGGTATTGATGGCTACAACAAAGCCGAGGCTTCAAGTTGCTAAAACGTGATACGTCACATCCGGCGAAGACTATGGCGAATAGGTATGAGTACGTGCTTGAAACGGGAATTTCTAATATATTTTTATCGTGATAGCGTAAAATTACGTCAACTGCGTTCATAAATCATTGACTATGATAGCTGAGTGGGAACTTAAATATTATCTATCCTAGTGTGACCTTAACTGCTGCAAATGTGACGAGCAGTAGCGAGAGTCTAAAAATCGGCATGTTAAAACGCAAGAGGAACATGTTGCTTTGAGGACTGTTCTGTACCTGTATTGCGCGGTTGGCGTCTGTTGGTGGAACCTGGTATAGGATACGCTGTGTTTATCTTTCGGTGTTTACTACTAGTAATAAGAAGTTGCGCATGAAGAAGTTTTCGACCTAACTCAGCAAACGCGATATGATCTGTTCATAGAGGAAACTCTCTAGTTTCAGAACACCAATAATGTGCTGACAGAAGCGTTTTTATGGTTAGCCACCGTAGAACCAGTGCACTAGCTACGCTAGACAAGCTATATAGGTTAAAGAGATTCCCGGTAACTAGAAAGAGGTTATAGAGCCTACATTAACTTCGATCCCTGACTGAATAAGTCTCACGTCACACACAGAACTATTGCACACAAGACACAAGCATATTCTGCAAAAAAGAAAAAAAAGTTTTTTTTTTTTTGCAGAATATGCTACACTACCAAAAATCCAAGGCAAAAAGTAAACAGACTGAGGCTTCAAAAAGTTAACATTGCAGCTGCACGATAAACGTACATCATTTATTTCGAGATGCACGGTGAACATTTCCCAAAAATGTGTTTGGTTAGCCAGTGATTTAAGCTAATAAAACTTTGCTAAAAGTTTTATTAAAAGTGAAAAATAAAGGGTTTGTGGTCAAAAAGTAAGTGCTTTATGGGTTACTGAATAATTGTAGGCAAATATAGGCGTCTATGTGTCATGAACATGGCGCGAAAGGTTTTCGCTGCAACCCAGTGCAAAAGCCAGTTGACCAGGTTCGCATTATACGTAAATTACGCGTAAAGAGCCGCTAGAAAGATGCAAGTGAATTTCGAAATCCTGCACACAAACAAGCTCAGGATTCGATCGGAATGGTTGGCCTTTGCCGTTTCTCTTAGATATATAAACATTCCCGTCAGATTTTTCCTACAGAATTGTAAGGTTTATCAGTTGCTTATTTATTAAATAAACTTAAGTTCCGCTTGCTTATTTTATACACGAAACGTGAAAAAATTTAGGCATCCTATATATAATTTAGCCATCTCGTAGCATATTCTCACTTTTCCTATACTCAAAATATAGGCGTATGTATTATACTTGGAATGCCTAGTACGGGTTTGATATGGATCGGTGATTCGCAATAGCAGCAGAAATGTGGGTTTTGAGCTGGTCTAAGAGCAATCAGTAAACTGGAGTCCTAAACGGTAGGCAGATATTAAGCTTATGCAGGCTCGATTTAGAGGAAAGAGGTAGGTATAGAGAGTGAGTGGGTGTAGTGAGCTTGACGGCATAAATAACACTATCGCGTATAAATGTCGTTGTCACAGTTTTTCGACTTGTGTTACAGACACTCGACTTTCAAGTGGCTGTATTTTTTTTTTATGGACTGAAATTTGCTCTACGTCATGTGGCAATAAAGGTTGTAAGGGCATACCCTGTTGACTGTCTGTACATGTTTTGTGAAATTCTGTTTTTGTTACATAGGTTCTTCCTATGCTGCTAGCAACGCAGATCGGTTCGTAGCCGTGCCCCTATATATATATATATATATATATATATATATATATATATATATATATATAAACTACTATATATCTACACAAGTATACAATAAATAAGGTGATATAAAACGTAGGGTTTTGTCTCCAAGTTAAAAACCACACTATACAGTCTACATTGTATACAATACGAAGCACCTCAGTTTTTAATACATTATCCTTTTCGTATATATATATATATGTCGTATATATATATATATATATATATATGTGTGTCGAAAACAACATTTATGAACAAGCTTCTTGAAATCAAGCGTGTTTGGATACGATCTTAAACACTTTAAAAATGCATCGATACCCAAACTGATAATAACACGCCTGAACTATCATCGAGTTTATGGATTCCACGAGTCTAGACATGCTCAGTATATAAACCTCCTAAAGATTTATCTTAGCATTAATTAAATGGTAATTAAGATTCGTTACTTTATCCTCCGTTCTCTATAACATAATTCTACCACTATATCCTATAAGGGGATTAGTTTTCTCAAGCTTTAAAGCCGTCGAGCTTACAAATACAAATTCCCATTTTTCTGTCTTAGCTTTAGCCAACATAGAAGGCCCGATGGTGACTTTATTTATTATCTGCGACTGCTCTATGCAATTACTAATAGAATTGTTTGTTTCTGTTTCAGAAGAACTCCAAGCGGACGAGACGGACAATGATAATAGTAAGTTCGAAGACATCCACTGAAAAAATAACCGCTTGTTTTTCCCACTTTCTAAATAACAGTGACCTTGAAATCGAATACAAAGTTCGCGAAAGACGGAAGTCTCTGAACGTTTCCAACATTATTCACGCCCCTTTGTAAATCTTCGTTTGTGCAACATGGCGCCTAGGTTCGGGGCAACAAAAAGTTCATACTCATTCGAATGGTTTTGACAATAATATTTCTCTTGAAGCCCAAATGTTTTTTGTCATTCAAAAATTACGGGTCGGACTCACCTACTCGAGGTGCTTGCGGCCGAATTCCGCCGTCGTTTCTTACAGTAGAACTATCTATTTGCTCCGCTATTACTACAGATTAGGCTCGTACAGCTCATTGTTAACTACTACTAGAAAAGGAAAGTTTGCTTCTTACCTTGAGAACATATTGCACGGCCCGTCTTGACTATGATAGCAATATATGAAGCAGGCAAGTAACTTAAGTAGTCTCTGTGGGTGGCCATATAGTGGAGCCAGTTTTGAGACACAGCGAGATCTTAGCAAGCGTACTGCGTCGTATGTGTGCACGAGAATGTTATTTGTGAGAACTGGCTCTGGACGAAATCTCGGGTAAATGTATTACTTCTCATCTTTGATACGTTAATGCGTAGACACATCATTGGAACGTTGTAGCCAGAATGTTTTTTAAGCATTAAATGACCGACTGGTACATTCCAGTGTGTGCTTTATCTGGCCTGTTGCTGCATATGCACGGAAGGGGCGTAACGTATACGCATACGCATACTGTTGTGCTACAAGCATTCGTCGTTGGTGCCTGAGTTGGCTACAGGGGCACGCCGTGCAATTGGGTCAATGGACACGTCGACACCAATAGCTTATGATTATGACTGCCTTGAGGACGATTCGAGCCAACTGGAGCATGCCGCTATAACGAATGCGTACTACCGTACATGTCGTGATCGTCCTTCAATGACAGACATCCCTCTCTGAGACAGCCTCGAAGAGGAGTGGTGCCAGCTTCTGAGTTTAGGTATGCAATCATATATTAGCCGACGATACGAGCAGAGTACGAACGTTACGTCCAAATCGAAAGTTTGCTCGATGCATAGAATCCGTATGCATTTGATAAATAGGGATATCGAGATGACCCTGTATTAAAATCTCAACTTATACCAGAACACCTAGCAATTTGGCGTATCGAAAACAACCAATAACCAAATATATGTAGCATGGTCTAGTCTTTTAACGTATATACATTTCCGGGCAACGGCACCGGTCTCTTGTAGAGCCACGAACACAGTCGATCTGATCCAAGTAAATGAGCGTGCGTCTCTATATCACTAGGCAGTTTCTTTATTAGGGCTACAAAAGCTGTATACTGCGGGACGCAATAATGCAACGTCATCGCTGAGATTTTCAATAGTGACCTAATAATGTCTTGCCAAAAACCATCTGCTTGGTGATAGCGGGACTAAAGCCTAAATGATCCAGGACAAAATGTCCTTGCTTATGAAAAGAGGACAAACTCAAGGTGCTGAATACCAATGATCTAAATGATGGTGACGGTTTGTGCGTCCGAGCGAAAAGCAACGGGTCAGGAAGTCTCGTCCCAAGTTGTAACCTGTGAGGCTTATATCTCCAAATGGCGACCCTTCTGACATGTTTGGAGAGAACCTGTACACCAAAGCAGACGTTACTTCGTGACACGTCTGATACATATGTAATCAAGTCTTTTGATAACAAGAATTGCACATCCATAGCTTCGTTTAACTAAAGACCTATTGTGGGAGTCGTCGTCAACGTTTGCTAAGTAAGCCAACCTATCATCTATAAATGGCTGTCGCCTGACAACTACTACGAATTGACATAAAGAGTAGTAGATTGATATAAAATCCAGCAAGAGACGCCAATATTCGATCCATGAACGCACGTTTTCTGTCCTGCAATCTCTTCTCGTTCCGAAGCACTCGATCCAGAATTATTGCGGCATCGATTTCTAGTACGACGAATTCAACACCTCATTGATACGAGCGTATAAATCTGAGATTTGATACGGAGCTGTGAGGAGCGCAGAAGCAGTTAATGTCAACCTGTCCCATACTTTCTATGGCAACCTCGAGTACAATGGGTCAATTGCTCGGAGCCTTCGTTATCTTATCTCTCGTCATCCCTTTTGCCCTTTGGGCCGGCTGGACGCCCCGACAGCGACAAAAAAACTTCATAGGGAAAGCTTTTGCATGACGACAGCAATGACACCTGTGTCGTCCGTTGGGCTTTAACAGGAACAGTTTCCAGAGCTCCTCACATCCGTCAAAGCCTGGGGCGACGGCAATGATTATGTTGATGGTAGTACTGAGGCTGCCACCAAGAGCGGAAGGTAATGGAGAGAAGTGTACTGTCTGATGCTGGGCTCGGATACAAGCTGAGCGTTCACGTCAAAGGCAAAAGTCAACCGATGGCTGCCTCTCGGGACAGTCATCTTAGGACGGGTAAGTGGCCAGCGTCTGGTTCGCTTGATTGTAGATTGCACCACGCATTAAATCGTTGCGAAGCCCAAAAGGTTACTCGATTTGCTACTGCTAGTTGCGATTGTTTGGGTATCTCATTACAGGCTACAGCAGGCGAGATGACGTCACATCCCGCCAGAGTGGCCTCAACGTTTGCCTGCGCCGCGGAGCTAGCTGGCTTTGAAGCCGATCGTTTGTCCGTGAACTGGGTGGTCTTATTGGCTGGCCAGGGTAGGGTACGCCTTTTTCCTTCTGGACCTGGCATGCTTTTGGCTGATGCTGTCATTTATCAGAAGTGGTCTGTTTATGAGACGGCAGGCCAAATACGTTCAGTTAGTTCATGAGCAAAAAGGTTTTGCCATCTTTAATACTGCCCTCGTTGTGTCGTCATATCAGCATAAGTTCATCTTATTTTATGTGAAATGCTACCGTCTCTGTTAAGTATGACCACAGCTAATACCACGGGTGAGTATATCTTATCATACGTAAAGACGTGGATAAAATGAAAATTACTCGTCACAAGTTGATCTCTTATTAATCCTAACAGTTGATAGGCCGTGAATAGCTTTTAAGGAATAAAATAATTCCTCAGCACGATCTAAAGTAGTTGATAGCATTTATTAACTCCATGGCTCTGATGCTGTTGATGGGTGCCAATCATTTCGTGGCTGTGCGACCATAGTCAGAATATTCCTTTGTCCCGAGTAGCTATTGGGTCGATACGGTTATATATTCTTGATTGCTATGATGTTCGGCCGTGAATTTGAATTCATACCCACCCGTTTCGATATTTTCTATATATTACGTGAACAAGTACGCCATCGAAAATGAAAAAACATGTTGTTATCGTCAAGGACATACGGCACAAGCACGTTGTTCTCATAAACTCTATAGATAGATAGGTAATACCGAAAAAGATTTCGTTTCTCCTCTGCCGAAGGCGGCAATCGGTGAGAGTTACGTCATTGAGGGGTGTATTTGATCACTTCGTTTCCTGCTTTGCCTCCGAATACGGCGACGAACGACCGAACGTGTGTATTAGCCAATAATATCCGGCGCCCCCGGCGCAGTGTGCACCCGTCAAAGCAAATCGTTGCCACAGTAAAACATACTGCACAGACATATAGAGTTGCTGCCAGTCGTCTATGACCCAGCGCTCATGCAGAAGTTTTAGTAGAAAGCGATTCTGTTGCAAATGACAAAACATTTTATTAATGGTTAATATCAGATAGCAGCATAAGCCGGCACCATTTCTCGTACTGTGCCGACCTCTCTTCCTTCGTGTGCCGCCTGTGAGCGGCTTTGAAACTCTGTCTTGGTTCTTGTCTTCTTCTTGTTTTGGCCTTTCCTTTTCGTAGCTTTATTTGACTGGTTCGGCTGGCCCTGTCGCTTAGGGCTGATTTATGAAGGTTTTGCGGTGCCAAGAAAGCCCGCCTTCTTTACAGCCCCCCGACAGTCCAACGACATCTCTTTATTTCCGGAACATTCTACGGAAACCGCCAACCATACATCGCCCATAGCCGCTAACCAAAGAACCAACATTGATGCTCCTGTTTTTCCTTAAAAGGTCTGATTTTGCTTCTCCTTTTACTGTCAGTTTTATTATCAAGTTTACCTATTTTCAAGTTAACTCGCCGATCCTCTTTTCCTAGCGGCCACTATCACCCTATCGTCCCCAACTGGGGTCGATTCGTTTTGTTGCTTACAGTGACGTGAGGCTCGAGGCATTGGATGACCGCGCGATGCTACCTCACTGGACGGTAGGCATGGGCAGAGCTTCGCGAAACTACGCATACTTCCTGTGGGCGAGGGCAGCCTGCGTGCGTTGTGGAGTAGTGGTTGAAGGAAGGCGGATATGGCTGTGGTGCTTCTGGAGTCAAGGGGCATTGGAGCCCGTAGAACGGTTCCTTCGTTTCCTTGAAGCGCGTTCGCCTACCACATTCCTTTACTGCAATCGTGGCGAGTCGTTCACAGATGCATCGATGACCGAGAAATTTACGTGGTCCTAGGCCAACTGAGCTTTCCCCTGACTCACTACTAGTTCTCCTGCTATTGGTGGTCCTGTGCTGTTTTAAACAAACGAGCTCTCGTATGCCCTCGAGCTGTGAACTGAAGGAGCTGCTGCCATGAGTCTCGGCAGCCATTATTCGCGTCAGAAAGTAGCACTAACCAAGAAAAGAGAGAGACACTTCAATGTGCATTTCACACGACACATGCAAATTACCATTGTCTTGATGGAAGTGTGTTTGTAATGCGATTCTTTTCCAGTTTTTTGCCCCTTCTATTCCCACTCTCGATAGAATTGTTCCCTCTTTCGGATATGCTGATAATGCTCCCATTGTAAACAGAGCTGATATTTTGCCTGTATATACTTCTATATATGTATAGAGTATTGGATTACCATAAAATTGAAAAAGACAAACACTTACTGCAAAGCGAAGTAAACACACAAATGTTTTTTGCGCAGCTTGATTAGATTTGTAATGACTGCATTAAA